CGCATCTATTAGATTTCTCTGGGATTTATACTCTGATATTTCGATTGGTTGTATGATTTGGCTTTTAGACATGGTTTACGTTGTGATGCGGTTTGATCAAACAATGTTTTTAATTATTAACGTTTTCTAAAGTAATGTTTTAAAAACGAAATTTTTGGACGTGAAAATTGGGTCGTTACAGTATGAGATCCAACAATCCTTCACCTCTTTTACAAGAATCAGTGAAAGGTGATTTAATAATCTTCCCAAGCAAACAAGACTCACACGTATCATCCGACCTTAATCAAATGATTCCAACACTCCACCCTTTTGGAGTTGGGCAATGCGTTTCTTGTTGACATGTCCAAGACGACAAGACCACACGCATGCTTTGTCTAAACCATTAGATGAATAAATTTGTAAAACACTATTACCTAGATTGTCTATAACCATCACAATTTCATACACGCCATCACAAGGTAAAGCTTCAAAATAGAGTACACCATTTTTAAAAGTAGAAATAGATCCATTATTATTATTATTAAAAGAATATATAAAACCTTTTTTATATAAACCATTAAATGAAATGATGTTTCTTGTCATCTCTAATGAATATAAACAATTGTTCAAATCCAAACACAACTCATTATTAAGCACTAAGTTATAAACACCAATGTTGGTAACTGGTGACGATCTCCTATTGCCCATGATCAGGTTCATTCTCCCATGCTCCAGATCCTCACTTCTTCTTAGTCCCTGCAATTTAGAACAAATGTGAAAACCACATCCTATATCAAGGACCCAAGAATAAGAATATGATGAGTTTTTGGATAGGATAGTGTAAATACCTTCCGAAGTTGGGTTTATTTTGCCATCCTTTATGTCTTGCAAGTATTTAGGGAAGCTTCATTTCCAATGCCCGTCCTCATGGTAGTAAAAACAAGTAGCCTCTCTAGGATTAGAGGTGGGAGGAGCATCATAACTGACTTTTCTTTTAGGTCCATTGCTTGAGGAACCAACTTGGGACTTTCTGTTTCTTTGCCCAATAGCCAAGACAAGAACAACAGAAGTAAGAGTGGATGCAACACTTTTGCTGTTCATTCCATTCTCATCAGGTTCTGAAGTTGAGCCAATGTGGTCTCTTGGTTGTTCAAATGATAAGTCATGATAAACTGATCATAACAACTGGGCAATGAGTGCAAGACTATAAAAATAGCCAATTCCTCATCAAAGTTCACACTAAGCTTCACCAGACGTTCCACATATCTTTCCATTCATTGCAAGTGACGACCGATGCACTCCCCGTCATTCATTTTGCTGGTGATAAGGGACTTTACTACCTCATACTTTTCTTGATGAGCTCTTTGGTGGTACTTTTCCACCAAGTCCTTGTTCATCTCGTATGATCAGTAATTCTCATAGAACCTTTCTAGCTCAGGAGTCATAGTAGCCACCATGATGCTTGTCACTTTGGTAGTATCTTTGTAGTGTCTCATATATTCACCTAGTTTTTTAGGAGTAGCTATTGTTTCATCAATCTCGCTAAGTTCCTTTTCGAGCATATACCTTTTATCCTCAAAACATAGAGCCATCTTGATGTTTTGAATCCAATCATTATAATTGGTGCCATCAAAAGTGACCCTAGAGTAGATGTTCAAGAGTGTGAAGTTGTTGTTTGAGTTGGAGGAGTTGTTATTGTTGGAGGAACCAGAAACGTCGTTGGGATTTGACATCTAAAAAAGAAAAAGGACAAGTTTTAGGTTAGATAGGAATATTCCTTAATATAATACCCAAATGAAATATTAAGGCTAGGATCCAACTAGATATTTCACAACTTAGAAAAGGGATGCCATAATCTAATTGTGAAATAATTAAAGGTAGGTAAATGAAGATTTACCAATTTCACCACAAAAATGAAATTTTGAAAGAATTAGGTTTTAAATGAAATTCCAAGATATTTTGAGATTCATTGAACTATTCAATGACATGTTTAATCTCGATTATGATCTTCCATTTGTGACTGGGATACTGAGGATCACAAATAAGATGTGAATAACCATGCAAATTAGCTTGGTACTCTTGATGTCATTTATCATTTAATTAATATGTCAGTTAGCCACACACGCTCTATTAAAATGATATTTACGAGACACCCATTGCCACCCTTTATTAGTCCATATTAGTATGTCAGTTAACCATACACATTCCACTAACGGATTATATAAAGTTCAATGTGCAATTTCATGGATTAACATCAAATTCACAATTTTTCCTAAAGTAATTAAGATTGAGAATTTAATAAAACATTTTAGTTACTTTATAGATTCCATTACACTTATTAATGAGAATTATTTGTCCTATCAAACCCGTTCGGCTAACGACCCTCCACCAATCAATGAAATGGTGGGTAAGAGTGGACACCCATACAGTAAATATTAAACTTTTAATTTTACATATAGTATGAGATGTATTTTAAACATTTCAAAATACTAGGGTTTATAATCTTTTAAATTTGAAATTAAAACAATTTAATTAAATTTAAAAGAAATTGATTTAATAATTCTCTATTAATTAAACCTTTAATTATTTTATCAAATCATTTGAGAATTATCCAATTAAATTAATCAAAATAACTTAACCTAATCCTCTCCCCTAATTTTTGAAAAACATGGGAGGGATATTCAAAATTTATAATTATCCAAATAAATCACATAAAGAGATAATTACCAAAATTAAGAAAACCGTATCCATAAACCCTAATTTTCGAAAATCACAATTCTTGGGGAGGAAGGCAAGCATTTCAATCCTTATCATATTTTCAAAAATCTAGGGGGTTAGGAAACCTTAATTTTTGAAAATTAAAAACAAAGGAAAGGGGTAAAACCCTTTTCCAAATTTTCAAAATCTAGGGTTAGGAAACCCTAAATTGCAAAAACCTTAAGTCCAAAGGGTTTAGTTGCCATAAACCTTAATTGATCAAGTTCAACCAATTGCATCAAATTCAATAGAAAACAAGCCAAGACTCTGATACCATTGATGAGTTTTGAGCATAACAAACAATCCCTATGTATGCATGTAACCCTAATATTCTTGGATCTATGTTTTCTCTAATTGAACATACAAGTATTAAACATCAAAAGGAAATGCCTAATAGCACTAGTATAATTTTGAAAATCATAACTAGGGTTATCAAACATACCTTTGATTGTTATGTTGTAATAATAATGAAATTCCAAGTCTTCTTCAACCTTGAGAGCAAGCGTCACAAGTGTCACGCCTCTGATGGTTCACACCCAAACTAAGCAAGAGGATGAGAGAGGAGAGGGGAGGAGGCTTGAGATTTTTAGCTATCCTTCTAGGGTTTTAGGGTGCACGAAAATAAGAAGTCTTATGGGTCTATTTATAGTGCATATAGGATACACTGGATAATCCTAATTTGAATAAAATATTATTAATTCAAATTGGTAATCATCTACCTTCTTAATTATATACTTAGGATAATATAAAACCCTAATTATCCATAAGCAAATCCGTCCACCACCTTCTAGGAAGGTTCTGGAACCTCTTGCTCAATTATTGAACAATTACACTTTAGTATCTGTACTTTTAATTAATTATTTTAATCTCGAAATTAATTGAAATTAATTTCTGATTAAATATTAATTAAATAATATGATTTCTAATTAATATATTATATTCATAATACATTAATAAACAATTTATTTCAATTTGTTAATCAAATAATAAATTCAACCTTTCTTACCAGATGTCATTTTGTCTAGTTGCTAGTTATGAAGGCAATTCAAAAGGACTGTACTACTATCAATTTAAGTATAGATCAATTATAGTTATATGCATAGATACCTAATTCAATAAAAACATGTATCCTTTGTAAACCTCATTTGATTTTAAACTCAACCATAGGATTATAGGGTTCACCAAAACCGAAACCATATAATAATTTATACATTTCTAATTTGTTCCCTCCATGATGAGTGATCTACTTTTTGATCGAATGATAATTCAGATGGAAATATGCCGAAGAATAATCTTTCATACAAGTTTTCATCGTTAAAATTTTAAATCGATACATATTCCTAAATTTTAGACAATATGATAGATGTTATATGTTTGTAAGCTTAGGATACATGTTGGCAATCTTATGTTACATTAACTTCATTCAATAAATAAATATAATTCAATGTAAAATCCACTAAGATCATAATGTAATATCAACACTCGATATATATATATATATATATATAGGGAGAGATCAAATAAGATAACCTTAAAGGTTGAGAACGCGAGAACAGTTCTGGACCAATCATTTTATAAGGGTATATTAGTAACTTTATATAAATATTAATTATTGATTTCCTAAAATTTAGGGATAATTATTTTAATTTCCTAACAAAATTAATATTTTCTTTTAGTTAATAAAATATATATAAATATTTTTTTAATGATTTTTCCCAAAAATTATTACCGTTTCAAAAAAATCACTTAAACAAATTAATATTTCATTTTATTTTAAATCTGAAAAGAAAATCTTAAAAAAATTATTATTTTCTACTATTTTACGTTTTTGTTTTTCAAAAAAAAAAAATGAATAGAAATCCAATCGTAAATCAATACACTTCCAATCATAAATGAAAACACATCAAATTACAAATAATTCAATGCATTTTTCATAAATTGAAAATAAATAAAAAGTGTAAAAATTCTCATTTTTTTTTCATAAAATGAATACCTCTAATCATAAATAAATATCTCTAATCATAAATAATACAAATATTCATAAATAATACAATCATTCACACATGAATACATTGCAATTCACAAATGTTACTTATAAATTAATGCACATTCTATAATAAATGAATACACAAGCTATTCATAAATGAATACAACTATTCACACATAACTACAATGTTATTCATAAATGAATACACGTGCTATTCATAAATAAATACAACCATTCACGCACCCCTTCAAGAAATTATTACCAAAAAATTCGAAAATTATGATTGTGTTTTTTTTCCATTGGTACACCTCGCTGCCGCTTTTTGGTTTGCAAAATCTCTCCCATAAGGTGGGAAATTGCCCCTGAAAGGGGTCAGAATGTAGTTGTTGTTTCCAGGATCAGAAGTGAAGTCTCCGAACACCAAAATAGCAGAAACCTTGTGGTTTTGAGTAGACGTTTTCACGATAAGATCTTGTGGTTCATAAACCTTAATTCCATAGCTAGATTCATGTATGAATAGAAAGAAATACGAGTAAAGAAATGTAGTTGATTAAACTTCATCGATTTACAGTTAAAATAAATAGAAAAGAGATGTGAATCATTACCGATCGAAGCAACTGCCCCATCGAGATCCCTTCCATCATTCCAGTCGAAAATGCTCTCACATGCATTTTATCGAGCACCTTATGTGCACAGTTCATCGCCTTTTTAAGAAAAACACATATGTTAGATCCATCTCTCCTGCGCTCAATCATCCAGGGAATTTTCTCATATGATTTTTGAACGAATGTATCACATTAGGATCAGAAAGAACAGTTTATCAATGTGATTGACACATGTAGATTTTAAATCTATAGACAAAAACCTAAGAGGATTTCCGCAATCGAGACTAACAAACCGCAAATTCAGGAAATAGAAAGTCGATTATCAGGATCAAAAATCAAATTTCTGAATATAAACACACAATTGAATCGAATAACAACAGCAAATCGAACGTACCTTTCTTTGATCGGGATCTGTAGAGATATGGGGCAGAATCGATTATGAGTCGGTTGGATTGATTCGAAGCAGATGAAGCATGAATGAGCCGATGAGGAGGCGGAACTAACCATAGCACCACAACGAAAACCCTTACCGGAGCTGATGTTTCCACTTGCCTTGCTTAATCGGGCCAAATGTTTTCATCCCCTTCGCATATGCTACCGGAATCGAAGGAGAAGCAGCCAAAAACTGCTTGAGCAGCCCTTGCTGCACCTACCGAGACCAATGATGATGGGAACAGATTTTCGTGGTGGGTTGTAGGTGATGCCCAGATCGATGATGGCGTGAGTTTTATGAAACCCTAAGAAGAAGAGGTGGAAATATATACACGATAGATTAATGGAAATATATGAACGGGTGAGAAATTATAGGAGATAGTAAAGTTGAAATTCCTGTTATGTCCTTTTAACCATTTAAAAGTTACATTTTAATGCCAACAGTTTAAGAATTTTTCATAAAACCCTCTTTCAATAATGACCTTAGATTTAAGTATTTAAATGATCAAGATTTGTTCTCGTATTCTCAACCTTTTTAGTGTTCTTATTTGATCCTACTCCTATATATATATATATATATATATATAATATATATATATATATATATATATATATATATATATATACATATATACTAATTTTGAAGTACGAGATGAACAGTATTTGGCAGTCATTGGTGAATATTGGTGATTTTTTTTCTTTTGGGTTTTGGTAAAGAAAATATCTTCCTTATTTTTTCCCTAATCTCCTTTACACCTGTCTTTAACTTGGGAACGTATATTTACACGTGGATAACCCACCGCTTCATCTCCTTCTTTGTTTAAACGTGATTTATCAATCCCTTCTTCAAGTTTGATATCAATTGCATTTGAGCTTAATAACTTTCTTTTTTTCCGACGAAAAAAGATATTAAGTCTGAAGAAGTCTCATCAGTCATCACTTGTAAAATTTTGAACTATGTTGGTAATTACTTGTGTGCAATAGAATAAATCATATAAATAAATTTAATATGAATAACTTTAAATCATAAAAATTAAAGTGGATGAATGAGTCATATTTTTACTACGAATAATCGTACATGATAAAAGCTCGGAAAATTTTGATAGTTTATGAACATTATATAGAACAAAAAGTAACATTTCACATTAATATGTGAAACCTAAGCTTTCTTTTTGCCAAAAATATCCAAAATCTCCTCACAAAATGATCAATTTTGTGACCATTTTCTAGAATTTTATGTTTTCACATTCTAAACAACACTGAATATTATAATAATGCTATATGTACGTAAACCATTTCGGACTCCTTAAACGACATGAACCATGTGCAGTCCCAAGTTCGGCCCTGTTCCTACACCCATTTTGGTAATTACGTATCTCACTAAAAGTTACACTCGTCCAAAATTAATAAGAATGATTCATACATAAACGATTATAACAATTAATGAATTAAATAAATAATTTGTTTTAGCTAAATATTACAACTCTTGCAAAATGTTTTGAGTCTCAAAGAAATATATTCTTTTTTTGACGGGCAGAGGAAAACTTCATGCTTTAGTAGTTTATTTATGATTAATAAAAACAATATTATTTAAGTGTATATAATATTTATGATGATTATAAAAGGTGAAAACGATGAACATGAAACATTTGCTAAAAGAACAGTTTGCTATGGACATATCAAAACACCTTTTTTGCTATGTATATGAAAAATACAATGTAACTTGATATGTAATCTAATAAATAATCTGTCAAATTGAAAAAAAAAACTTGAGAGCCTCTATTAATATTGTCTTGCAATGATTGCTAGAAGACAAATTAATAAATTTGAAAAGGAAACAATCCAAAAAAGAAAATATCACTTTCTTTAAATGACTCAAAATAAAACCTTACCAGTTTTTGGGACAAAAAAATACGTTCTTTAACTGACACATAAGTTACTATAAATTAATTAACTACTAAGAATTTAATAAAATATATTTATTAAAAAAAGCATTCTTTTTGGAACGTTATAATTATATTAAAAACCTAATAAGAAATTATGCAAAAGAGAAATATAATTAGTTTATGACATAACGAGGGTTGTGATAATCGTAAACCGCAAATAATTGATTACCACCATAATGAAGGATATACACAAATGACTCTTCACTTTCTACCCACTAAACCCAATTTCTTGATAAAAAACCCTAACTGTTCCTTGAAATCTTGCATTTGATCATCAACTTCAATCGTAAATTCGAATCCACGAGTATGCTCCAAATGTGATAAATCAGACCAATAAATCAGTGTTTTGATGCAATCTAGATTTAAGGTAACATACTCTTTCTTTTACATAAAAAATCATTTACAATCAGTATAAAATAATATATATATATATATATATATATATATATATATATATATATATATATATATATATATATATATATATATATATTGTTTGGCTCATAATTTTTACAGAAGGATATCCCATGATGCTCACTATTGAGCTCCATCATGGGGGAGGTTCACAAAATTCCCAAGGATAAGCTACATTAAAGGAAAATTAGACCACGTCGACCTGGTAGACATGAATGAGTTCTTTGTGCACGAGTTGGACGAGGTGATGCTAAAGCTTGGTTATCAGGTACCACCAATCATTTACAACCACTATCAACTGCCAAATGGAGATTTGGAGTTTGGTCTTAGAGCTATAGGGAATGATGTTTATGTACTTAGTCTTGCACAGTATATTGAACATCGTAAGATCATCAAGGTATACAATGAACATAATGAAACTAGGTTACTTACATACTTTATGTCTCCAAGAGTTAAACCAGGGTCATAATTGAGGAAATAGGAGATGATGTGCCCTTACCAAAATCAAATTTAACAGTGGTTGATTTGCATCCAGTATACCAAAACGAGGACGATGTCCTAAATCTTGAATTGTGTTTGGTAAGGTATGAGACACCAGAATACAATAAGAATAAGAGATTACAGTTAGTTGAAGGGAGTCAATCATGTAGTAAGAAATTATTTTTTTTAACTTGCAACACACTACAAGTGTTGGTGATCAAGATGCACATGTTGAAATTGGTAATGAAGGTGCAACTATTGGTGATCACGATGCATAAATTCATGATGAAGGTGCAACTATTGGTGTAACACCGTAAATTTTTAAATAAAATTTTCGTTTTAAAATCACATATATCTCATTATCACATTCACAAAATTTAAAAAAATGTCAAATTATCAAAAACACATATTCATAAATGTTTGAACAAAATATAGGATCCTCAAAACATAACTCCATCTCGTGTGTACAATCAAGAAGACACCTTCTCGCGATTCTGAAAAGTGACCTCTTCTCAAGTTCCTTCATTTGTTGGTGGTGTTGTTTGATTCCATTTAAGGTGCAACACTTGGGACACTAAGCTCTTAAAGCTCGAAGCAACAAGCTACAAGAAAAGGTATGTCATCTAACTTGTTTTATTAACCAAGTATCAAAGTTTTGTATGCTAGTTAGGGTAATACCTTGGAAAGTTCAAGTTTTCATGTATAATAGAGAAAACATAGATCCAAAGTATTTAGGCTTGCACGCACACCTTAGGAGTGTTAGAATGCTCAAAAGCCTCCAGAAACAACCCTCCACACCAGACAACCACCTCATCGCCATAATCAGATCCTTGACCTCCTTAAACACTATGCGCTTCGTATTGTCAAAGTCCTGATACTGGAAATGTTCTCTCCCCTCGGATCCCTACAGCAGCAACAACAACAGCCTAAGAGAGTGCATCACAGTGATCATAAAATAACTCAATCATGGCGGTCCTAATAGACCTAAAGAGCTCCAAAATAGACCCCCGAATAGCAGTATCCACCTCAGTGGAAATTATCTCCTGTATCTGATCATCAATCAACCCTGACCTATCCTAGCCACTCGCTCCATATCCAAAACCCGACCCTCTTGTGAACATCATACTGAAAATGAACCAAATTATATATTAGAAATGCCATAATTCATACCATCACAACCATCCCAGATAGACTAAACCCTTGGGTTTGTTACTTCCTTGCTATGCGTACGTTCTTGTGCTTCCGGTAGTACGGGCCCATACCACCTTCCACACTTACCCGTATTTGTCTAAAAGGATCATCACAAACTGCTTGAAAACAAAACCCACCACTATGATACACATACATCGTATCCTTACTCTCTCTTGAGTGGTTAATCATTCATCAACTAGACTGCTACATCCACTTAATCACTCATGAAACTTCCACCAACCCTGCAGCCGCTCGAGCATGCTAATAGTAAATAATACATGATTCCATAGATAGTAAAATACTTGATTCTACCCTAACTCCACAACAAACAAGGAACAAGAAATAAGGCTAAATCAAATATTCTCAAGCTATAGAATCTTATTTATATAAAACTATGATGCATACACTAAGAAACTACGGTAATGATGTCAATTTCATCTAACATAAAGGAAGTCCTCCTAGGCTATCATGCATCATGCATCAAAAAATTCTATCATACAATTCCTGAAGAACCCTAACCTACCACTAGCATGCAGTTCTATCATAATCACCATTAAAAAAAACAATATGGGTAACTTGGGGTATCCTTTTGCTCTGACTGATCGTACACATCACATCCTTCCTTGGTTGCTTTTGAAAACTTTTACTGATCCGTAGTTTGAGTCTGGATTTACACGAATTTCATCCAATTCTCAGAAACTAAGGATCCAATACCAGCTTGTAACATCCCAGACATCAAGATAATTTTTTTCATTTTTCAATAAAAAACCATTCCAAAGACCATAATTGTTAACAAAATATTGTTCCAAAAGTAATAATCATAAGTCAGAGTATCCCAAATTCCAATAAAATAGAATTTAGAAGTATGTACACGATCATGCCTTTACTTTACCTTGATCATCTTAAGTACTTGAAACAATAAACGAAAACCGTAAGACAAAGCTTAGTGAGTTCCCCCAAAGTACCACACACAAGCATACAAATAAAAACATGCATACATAACCCGTTAGCCTGAATGGACCACTGCACGGGGCCTACAAACTA